GACGGTTTTATCTATCGTCGGTATTCCGTCGGAATTAACCGACGGATTACCGACGGTTTAATTTTGCTCTCAAAACCGTCGGAAAATTCCGACGGAAATCTCGCCCGTCGGAATTTCCATCGGAAAAGTGGTTGTTTTCTTGTAGTGTAATCTAGGAAGTTGTAAGAATGGAGAATATGCTCCTCTATAAAGAAAATAAACAACGTAAGAAATTGTTAAACAATATAATAAATTAGAATTATCAGAATTCATAATGTACTTCTCTAACAAACTTTTTCAAATTGAAGCGTCAAAATAGGACCTCAACTACTTCGTATGTTGGTAGCTCAAGTGGTCATCTTCCACATTTAGAAGCAACGTAACAATGTTCTCCACAATTCTCAAGCAATTTCATCAGCAAGGATCTTCAAGAACCGAGAAATCCGCAACACCATCAACGCTAGAAGGCATAGAAAGTGTTGGAGAGATTTGTTGCGCTATTGGATTCGATAACGCCACCAATATCTTACCCATCTTTAATGTAATCTTGTTTTTAACTTTTTTTGCCAAGATTACTCTACTTAGGTAATGCTCAATTGTAATGCCTCATATGTTTATTTTAATGATATGAACATTTTAGCCAAAAAAAAAGCGTGAAAATAAAATAAAATGTCCAATTTAGGCAACAACATATAAAACTGCGACCGGCCAATAATACCTCGGCAAAAATTAGTATGTGCCTTCATTCTTGTCTTTACGACTAATATAGATTTTGTGCTATTTATCATGATCAAAACGGTACACGTTATATACAATTAAATGAGAAATTTCAAAAAATATCATTTTTCAAGTGTAAATTTATAAAATGCCACATTTTTGAAATTTTTATAAAACTGTCATTTTTTCAAAATTATTTTTTCTTTATATTATTTATTTTTGGGTTAATTATGTTCTATTAGAGTTTAGTTTTGAGTGTTTAGGGGTTTTATGTGTCAAAACATTTTTAGGGTTTATAATTTTAAGATATATACTTTATAAATCTATAAATAGTGACATTTTTGTAAATGGACACCCTTAAATGACATTCTTGCAAATGTATACACAAAAAGTGACATTTTTGTAATTGCTCCGAATTAAATTGAAAGCATAAAACTATTATGATAACTAAAAAATATACTATTAGAATGATAGAAACGCTTGTAGTCCCATTAGATTAGACGGTGAGAATAAGAATATTAATTATTATACTAATTAAATATAGTTGACGATATCATCAATGTTTTGTATA